GAGGGACTTTTTTTCCAAAATTCAGTGACAAAAGCAAAGAACTGACACACACACACACACACACAAAGACATTTACAATCAAAGTATACAGAAGATGCCAAGAATACACTAGTGTTACTGACTCTTACAACTTACCACATAATCCAAACTAGGGGATCAGAGAGGCCATACCACCTCCGGATATTGTACCACCAGCTGGTGTAAGCACATTCGTATGAAACCCACCCCTCCAAAAAGGGACACCATCACCAGTCTTGTGCTTGAAAAGCTCTATAAATCAACAAGAGTTCTCAAAATATGCAAAAAAATATAACTGAAAATGGTACAATCAAGCATATTTTCGAATTGACTTGCATTTTCCTTCCATTGATCACTCCTGTGATTCTCTAGACAAAAGGCCTATTGGTTTTCCTTGAAATGTGTTGTCAGAGGTGCATATATGCTGACAAAAGAGAAAACCTAGGGACAACAACGGGCACATCTCTGCTAGTCTTGAAGATATGAGAGGCAAGAAAATATGCAAAGCTCAGTTCATGGTGAAAAAGTAGGTCAAAGGTCAATTTCAATATCTTAGTATATGAATTTCTATTCAAGTTCAATAGTAACCATGGGCATTTCTTTGGCAATTTTGCAGATTTAAAGGCCAGAAAACATGCAAAAAGCAGTTCATCATAAAAAGTAGGACAAAGGTTAATTTCAAAGTCACAGTAAATTGCCTCTAATGACTTCCTATTCACGTTGGATAGTAATTATGGACCTATCTTTGCCAGTTTTGGAGATAAAAGGAAATGAAAATTTGCAAAGTTCAGTTTATGGTAAAAAGTAGGTCAAAGGTCAATTTTAAGGTCACAGTAAATTGCCAGTATATGACTTCCTATTCAAGTTCAATAGTAACTATGGACCTATCTCTGCCAGTTTTGGAGATAAAAGGTAACGAAAATTTGCAAAGTTCAATTGATGATGCAAAGTAGGTCACAGTTCAATTTCAAGGTCACACTTAGATTGCCAGTATATGACCTCCTATTCAAGTTCAATAGTAACTATGGCTGTATCTTTGCCAGTTTTGGAGATAAAAGGGAATGAAAATTTGCAAAATTCAGTTCATGGTGTAAAGTAGGTCAAAGGTCAATTATAAGGTCACATTTAGATTGCCAGTATATGACCTCCTATTCAAGTTCAATAGTAACTATGGCTGTATCTTTGCCAGTTTTGGAGATAAAAGGGAACGAAAATTTGCAAAATTCAGTTCATGGTAAAAAGTAGGTCAAAGGTCAATTTTAAGGTCACAGTAAATTGCCAGTATATGATTTCCTATTCAAGTTCAATAGTAACTATGGACCTATCTCTGCAAGTTTTGGAGATAAAAGGGAACGGAAATTTGCAAAGTTCAATTCATGATGAAAAGTAGGTCAAAGGTCAATTTCAAGGTCACACTTAGATTGCCAGTATATGACTTCCTATTCAAGTTCAATAGCAACTATGGACCTATCTCTGCCAGTTTTGGAGATATAAGGGAACAGAAATTTGCAAAGATCAGTTTATGGTGAAAAGTAGGTCAAAGGTCAATTTCAAGGTCACAGTTAAATTGCCAGTATGTGACTTTCTATTCAACTTTAATAGTAACTAGGGACCTATCTCTGCCAGTTTTGGAGATATAAGGGACTAAATGTAACAATTTTGGAGTTACAAAAATGTGCCATTAATTTCCTACAGAAAAAATTAATTAAAATAAAGAAAAGGTCATTTTGGTTGAAATTCTTGAAATGGGAGGTGCTCAGAAGTTTCAGATGTTCAAATTTCATGAAATAATGTCATTTTAGACCAGAAGTTGTCTGCCTTGCCAAGCCTTATGTTTTATTTTCCCGGGGTTCAAAATTTATTATACATTACCGTACTGCACATTTTGCTTTCACCACCACAATGTACTTTTTGATACAGCATAACTTGAAAACCATATGGAATACAAAAAAAACGGAGACCACTTGTAGTGTTGGGCTTTACATGCTCTACAAAATGCAAAAAAAGAATGGGTCTCTAGCATTAACAGTTCCCAAATTAGAGACAGTTTTCAGTTTTGATATCTTATGGCTGCTACTCCCGTGAAAATGCACCGATTGACTCCAAATTCACGGAGATAAAAGATGACTCAAAGTGTGACACTTTCCAATAATATTATTGGTTAGGTCTGTGTAGTTTCTGAAAATCAGTGCAAATAATTTTTTTTCGTAAAAAAATTTATTTTTTTGAAAATTTTGGCCCGTTTGACCTTGAAATAAAGGTCAAAGGTCCAATCCAAGGACATATTTGAAATCTACACATATGACTTTTGGACAGCCATTTGTAGAAATTTTTCTCATAATTCCTTTCGTAGGGTAGATAATTAGCATTTAATTTTGCCATTTTTGGACAAGGGTGCATTGCAATGAGTGCCACACCTAGACCCCAATACCGACAAACCCCAAATTTTATGTGGAACGAGTTGAGATTATAGGTGACCTAAATCCAAGAGATGGGTATGGAGGCCCTTACCGTCTAGGAGGAGAAGCGGTAACGGTAACATGGCGGCAGAGCCGACAGAGCCGGCGGAACGTAGGCGCTGGCGGTACACATGTTTTTAGCCCCGACCTGTATGTTCTGCCGGCTCTGCCGCCATGTTACCAATACCGTTTCTCCTCCTAGACGACAAGGGCCTGAAATTGACCTTTGACCTACTTTACACCATAAACTAAACTTTGCACCTTTTTTAATGCTTACACTTTCAAAACTGGCAAAGATACGCCCATAGTTACTATTGAATTTGAATAGAAAGTCATTAGAGGCAATTTAATGTGACCTTAAAATTGACCTTTGACCTACTTTTCACCATGAACCTAACTTTACAAATTTCTTTTCCTTTTAACTCCAAACCTGGCAGAGATAGGTTCATAGTTACTATTAAAGTTGAATAGGAAGTCATATACTTGTAATCTTACTCTGACCTTGAAATTGACCTTTGACCTACTTTACACCATAAACTGAACTTTGCAACTTTTTAATGCTTTTATTTTCAAAACTGGCAGAGATAGGCCCATAGTAACTATTGAATTTGAATAGAAAGTCATTAGAGGCAATTAACTGTGACCTTAAAATTGACTTTTGACCTACTTTTAACCATGAACTGAACTTGGCAAATTTTGTTCCCTTTTATCGCCAAAACTAGCAGAAATAGGTCCATAGTTACTATTGAACATGTATAGGAAGTCATATGCTGGCAATCTAAATGTGACCTTAAAATTGACCTTTGACCTACTTTTCACCATGAACTGAACTTTACAAATTTCTTTTCCTTTTAACTCCAAACCTGGCAGAGATAGGTTCATAGTTACTATTAAAGTTGAATAGGAAGTCATATACTTGTAATCTTACTCTGACCTTGAAATTGACCTTTGACCTACTTTACACCATAAACTGAACTTTGCAACTTTTTAATGCTTTTATTTTCAAAACTGGCAGAGATAGGCCCATAGTAACTATTGAATTTGAATAGAAAGTCATTAGAGGCAATTAACTGTGACCTTAAAATTGACTTTTGACCTACTTTTAACCATGAACTGAACTTGGCAAATTTTGTTCCCTTTTATCGCCAAAACTAGCAGAAATAGGTCCATAGTTACTATTGAACATGTATAGGAAGTCATATGCTGGCAATCTAAATGTGACCTTAAAATTGACCTTTGACCTACTTTTCATCATGAATTGAACTTTGCAAATTTTGGTTCCCTTTTATCTCCAAAACTGGCAAAGATATGCCTATAGTTACAATTGAATTTGAATAGGAAGTCATATACTGGCAATCTAAATGTGACCTTGAAATTGACCTTTGACCTACTTTTCATCATGAATTGAACTTAACAAATTTTGGTTCCCTTTTATTTTGAAAACTGGCAGAGATAGGTCCATAGTTACTGTTGAACTTGAATAGGAAGTCATATACTGGAAATTTACTGTGACCTTGAAATTGACCTTTGAGCTACCTTACGATGAACTGAACTTTGATTGTACCATTTTCAGTTATATATATTTTTTTGCATATTTTTAGAATTCTTGTTGATAGCATTTTTACAGCTTGTCAAGCACAAGACTGGTGGTGGTGTCCCTTTTTTGTGGGGGGGTCTATACGAATGCGCTTACTCCAGCTGGTGGTACAATATTCGGAGGCGGTATAGCCTCTCTGATCCTCTAGATGTATATTTGTTTTTTGTTCTTACCCAGTTGGCGAATAGCTGCAAAGCTAATGTTTCCATTTATAACCGACATAAAATAAAATTTATTGTATTGTATTGTATTGTACTATTATTGGATTAATTTGTCTGTTCTTATTTGTCAGTTATAACACCCATAACACTGTTGTAAATGAAATGTCAAGTTATGCATTACTTAAATTAAAAATAAAGTAGCCAGCTCTCTACCAGTACATATAGCATATGGCAGTTTGCACTACACTTTACATTCAAATATAAGGTGTGTAATAGATTCTACCACATCCAGACAGAAATAACAAATTTCAAAGAGAAACACCTTATACTTACTCATGCAGCAGATGTGTAGTTATATACAGCAGTACACTCCTGGATTGTTTCAAGGCATAACCAAACATATCCTTTTCTCTCAATCCATGTAGAGGGCCACTTTCAATCAACATACAAGTCATCCCTTGTCCTACTAAATCTGGTAAAAATGTAAAATATATGTTATATATTCAACTCCAGATACACATGCATTTCACTGAAATTTACTTAATGTATCCAATTTAAATTAACTGACAATGTAATACCTTTATATCATTTATCTATAGAGGGTGCTTCTTATTTACTGGTACACATAAGTAACTTACATTCAACAATATGACCTGCCCCAACATCTATGTGACTGGGAAATAATTTTAATACTATAACTTTACATGTTACATGTTGAATGGCCATAAAACATTTCTTAGTTCAAAGTATTAAACTGAGTTTTACTCATCTCCACAAACCTTGAGATAGTTGTTCTACCTCTATTTCATCTCTTCCATCATAAAAAATGAAAACATTATATTCTATATCTTCCCCTGGAAATGACCAAGTTATTTACTTATTATATTCATCTTATACACATTTTGATTCACAGATGTAGCCAAGATCTCATTTGCTCTCAGAAGGTAATTACAGAAGTCAACTGTGTCTAATTATTATGCCAGTTCCAATTCAGAATTCAAAAGACACCACAAAACAAGCTTAGTTTGACTTTTAAATCACAAAGTATTCAGAATATTTGAGTTATTAATTACTAGGCAGATATACCCACGGTAGCTTTAAAATATTTTTTTATCTCCTTCATAATATTTTATGGTGGAGCATCCCACCTCTTAAAACAGCAACTTCGCTTGTTGTGTTTGCATCTGGTGGTATAACAAATTTTGAAAAAAAAACTGGTCAATATATCAGTGATATCAAACTATCAAACTCAGGGTGAAAAGTAAATGTATGGTTAGCTGACAGAGACAGTTACTGTAATAAACAGTATTTTTAATACGCAGGGATATTACCTTTGATCCTCATTGACAAATGTTTCAAAAATCCTTCCTCTCTGCTATCTATGGGTATCAAATGTCTCAAGGACAAAGGTAATTTTCTCTGTTCTTCACTGGTGATGTCTCCATATACAGGGATGACTTGCTTTTGCTGTGACATAGCTGCATGCATTATCCCTTTTGTTTCCATCTTCAACGAAAAACTAAGATAAAGAACAGTAATTTATGTGAATTTTGGTATAGTAAAAGATTTGTGAGAGAAGGGGACTTTTTTCAGAATTCATAGACAAACTTAAAGAATTAACACAGAAAAAATAGTTTCCAGACTCAACTCATAACTTAAATAATAAACCAAAATTTATGTGAATTTTGTCATATGATATTAAAGGATGCGTGAGAGAGAGAGACTTTGTTTCAAAATTCAATAACAAAAGCAAAGAACAGACACACAAAAACAGATACAATCAAAGTATACAGAAGATTCCAAGAATACACTTACAACTTACCACATACTACAAATAATACATAAACAGATTTTTTTCTGGAGATAGCATAAGTTTCTTTCAAAAAGCATTCTTATTCTGCAAAAAATTGGCTTGATCCCCTTTTAAATCATGAGTAAACAATAATTTCACAACTATAATTATTGGATTAATTTGTTTGTTCTTAACTGTCATTTCTAACAACCATAACACTGTTGTTAATGAAATGTCAAGTTATGCATTACTTAAATTAAAAATAAAGTAACCAGGTCTCTACCAGTACATCTCCCTGCAGGCATAGTTGCGTTGGATCAATGTTGAAAACAGGTTGATACGTTGAATTGCCGTTGATCTACCTAAATTCAAAGTTAAATCAACGTTGATCCAGCCACGTTGACTCAACCTTGTATTTTGGTCAATGGCACAACCTTGCAGTTATGGATTGTAATTTAAAATATTAATTATTAAAAACGTGATACTTTGTTTATCAATACTGTAACTAAATTTATCAAAATAATAACAAAATGGTTTTGAAGTAAAAGTGACAATTGTTTTGTGTCTTTAAGGGGCCCGCACACGGTGAGCATTTGGCGCGCGCCACTTGCGCTGCGCTGTTTTCTCATCATGTGCGGGGGTATTTTGGTGAGATTTTTGCCTCTCGCGCGGCTGAGCAAAATTTCTCACGTGTTTGATTTTTTTGGTCTCTTGAGGCAAATGTCTCAGCGTGTGCGGGGTGCAAGCGCCAATTGCTCACGCCATGCCAACAATGCGCATGTGCCGGTAGCCGGAAACAAAGAAAAATGGCAGCCCCCAGCGAAGTAAACAAAAATGTACGCAGTTATAGTTAGTCTGATTGATTAACGTGGTCACCATTTGCTATTACTTTCAGAAAAAAAATAAATATGTAATGTTTTCTTAATTACACGATCCCACAGTTCGCGCATCGTTTGCGGGGAGCTGAGGAGCGCGAGCATCTGGCGCAGTGCAAGTGGCGCGCGCCGAATGCTCACCGTGTGCGGGCCCCTTTAGTTAACTAGTGAATTTTCTTAACTTGTTATTCAGAAATACATTCCAATAAACTGAATTGCTTGCAAGGTCAGCTAACACCAGGATGAATAGGTTGCTATAAACAGTTCTTAGTAACCTGTTATAGATAGACAGGTTGAGGTGACTGTGACCTTGTTATATATATATATATATATATATATATATATATATATATATATATATAAGATCTATATATATTAATCTAAACCTTGGAAATTTTAACTTAAAGGCCATACATTTATACCCTACATATATTTAGCCATCAAACATGTCCTACTGCTAAACACATCCAGGCAAATTTCCTGGGTGGGGTTGATATAACATTGTTTTCTGACGTTGATACAACGTTGTTATCTGAGGTTGACACAACTTTCAAATCCAACGTTTATTCAATGTCTTTTCAATGTTATGGTTCAACGTTGTTTCAACGTTAAAACAACATAATTTGCCCACTGGGTATAGCATATGCCAATTTACACTACATACAAATATAAGGTGTGTAATAGATTCTACCACATCCAGACAGAAATAACAAATTTCAAAGAGAGACAACACCTAGCTTATACTTACTCTTGCAGGTAATGTGTAGTTATATACAGCAGTATTCTCCTGGATTGTTTCAAGACATAATCAAACATATCCCTTGCTCTTATTCCATGTAGAGAGTCAATTTCAATCAAAACACAAGTCATCCCTTGTCCTGCTAAATCTGGTAAAAATGTAAAATATATGTTATATATTCAACTCCAGAAACACATGCATTTCACTGAAATTTACTTAATATATCCAATTTAAATTAACTGACAATGTAATACCTATATATCATTTATCTATAGAGGGTGCTTCTTATTAACTGATACACATAAGTAACTTACATTCAACAAAATGACCTGCCCCCAACATCTATGTGATTGGGAAATAATTTTTATACTATAACTTTACATGTTACATGTTGAATGGCCATAAAACATTTCTTAGTTCAAAGTATTAAACTGAGTTTTACTCATTTCCACAANTTGAATAATCCGCGTGATATAAGGCCCCGTACACGTCTGTCGACCCAGTTGCGTAGCGCTAACCTTACCTGTGTGAATCAAATGAAAGACCGGCGTTTTTCTTTTACTTGGACAGTCAGTATCTTTGCACCGACTAGTCTGGGGGCGAAACTGCTTATGACGTCATCCGTGACGTCACACGTCATCTCCTCTTAAAACAACCGTGGTTTATTTCTTTTCCGTACAATGATGGTTACGAAAGGCGCTTCGGACGTGATATCGAGGATACAGAACCGTCATTTTACAAATTTAGAATCAAATATATTAAAAATCTTTTATACAAGGCATCTGTCACGCTACATGTAAACATGCATGTAAAATAAACCTTTGATTTTACGGAACCCGTTTTGGACAGCTACCCATATTAGACAGTTCGTATTAATTTTTTTTTTTTTTTTTTAGATGCTAAATTTATTTAATGGCTTCAAGCGTACATTGCATGTAAGAGCTTTTTTCCGTCACACAAGCCCAGGTTTGACTTGACAACGTCATGCATGGGTCGTTGTAGAAAAGAAAATCGAGCAGCAGGAAAACTGTCTGCTTGCCTCGCCCCTTTCTAAACAGCTGAAAAAGAAATTAATTTTCGGCTCAAACTATCACTTACCACCAAAACAAATTTGAAACAAATTCTGTTCTACATTTCACTCATCACAACCCTATGACTACTTGATCGTGAGTTATCAAGTGCAATATCTAATGCAGACAGTCGCCCTGAGCTATCAAATGCAATATCCTCAGGTAAATCACGAAGGATTAATGGCAATAAGAGGGTAAAAGTGCCCACCTTTGTACATGAAATATAAATTGTGAATGAATAAAAAAAAAATTGATACCAAATTAAAATTAAGGTCTTACACTTTTATGATCCACAGTAGTTTTTTTTTTTTTTTTTTTTTTTTTTGTAATTTTGAAATATCAAAAATTAATGTAAAAATGACCTTGTCAAATATTCATGGAAATGTAAGTTTTAGGGGAGTCTGAAATACATTGCTACATTTCTATAGTTGTAGTAAGGTGACAACTGTGAAATTTTGTAATTGGGCACAGAAGGTGCCAGTTTAAAAAAGAAAGGCGATAAGTGGCCAATCAATGCTTGTGATCAATATTTTGATTGCTTTATTCTTACATATAGTGTTGATTGAAAGAAGATGATCACAATGACTTGAGGATAAACGATGTTCATTTTTTATATGAGCCCCTGACAATACAAGACAAGTCTAAGACAAGATAATTATTCATGGTTGAAAAGACATAAATATAAGGTGAGATATCTTTTAAAATCAGCTTGTCTTAGGGTTGGGTTTGATATCTACTCAAACATCTATGGACATTTTCAGTCCATATGCTAGCAGTCGCCCATGCTAGTAGTGGCCACTACAATTCGCTTATCGATCTAACAGAAATGTTGAAGATGCAATTAATCTGTGCCTACACACTGTACTACAACACTTAGATAACAAAAACTCTTATGCAAGGATTCTATTTATTGACTACAGTTCAGCTTTTAACACAATTGTGCCAAAAAAAACTATATTTGAAACTTTTAAACCATCTTAAGCTACCTGTTTTTATTTGTGACTGGATTTTAGACTTTCTTTTAGATAGAAGACAATCTGTTAAAGTCGGCCCTTTTAGCTCAAAAATAACAGTCTTAAATACCGGTGCACCACAGGGATGCGTCCTTTCACCTTGTCTTTACTCCCTTTTTACCTATGATTGTACTAGTGTAAGCGACGGGACTTTTCTCATGAAATTTGCGGATGATACTACGCTTGTGGGGCTAGTTACTGATAATGACGAGAGTACATATAGAGAATCTGTTGAGTCAGTGTTAAGCTGGTGCGAGAGTAATGATCTTATCTTGAATTTAGCTAAAACCAAAGAAATGATAGTGGATTTTAGAAGGAATCAGAATGTAAAGGTACCCCTCACCATTGGTAATGTTGAAGTTAGTAGGGTAGAGGAATTTAAACTACTTGGTATACACCTTAAAGGTACATACGAACCGAGCATCGGTGGAGTGTGGATTCCGAGTAACACATGTAAACCATTTCTACTAGATTCTTATATGACTCAAATAAATTCGACATGCCAAGGGATAAACTGAATAGATCACTCAATCAGCCATAAAAGACCTTCAGACTGCTCCTTTCTTTAAATTTATGGTTGTAAATTTAACCTACTTCCGTGACCTACTTTCCTGCCCCATTGACATACAGCTTAGAATGCCAGCAGAAAAATCTGTTCAAACATCATTTTCGGGTAAAATTAAACAATGCCTTTTGGTAATTCTCTTAGTTATACTACTTGAAACTATATGCTGGCATTTGGTTGGTTTTTGTGACAAAAAATTGACTTTGTATGCATCTTTAACAGTAAATTGAATTGGAAAGATAACACCGCAAAGAGTGTAAAGAAGGCACAGCAAAGACTGTATTTTTTAAGATCATTGAGAACTTTTACTGATAGCTTGCCTATTTTAGTCAATTTTTACAGGTGTGTAATTGATAGCATTCTAGCGTACGGAATTATAATATAGTATAGCGGAACAGCTGGGGAGGAAAGGAAGAAATTAGCAAACGCTGTAAAAACTGCAAGCAGGATTATCGGGCAGGATCTCCCCAAGCTGGAAGATATTTTTAAAGACAGGATGGAGAAAAGAATTGTCAACACCATGAAAGACTCTTTCCATCCTGCATCATCTCTTTTTACGTTTTTACCAAGCAACAGTAGACTTTTAACTTTTAAAGGCAGTAAATGCTTTTTAAACAGCTTTTATCCAAGTGCAGTGACGCATTTTAATTTGATCTCAAAACTAAATTCTTAATTAATTTATTTATTGTATTATTTTATTATTTTACTCTGTATACTGCTCCAAAAGGAAAATGATTTCCGATTTTTATAATTGGCTAAATAAACTCTTATCTTATCTTATGTTTATTGCTGCCATGAGGTAGCTGCTACATGCTTACATAGCATGGCTAGGCAGATACAATGAAACTTTTGTACAAAAAAAGAACAACTCAAAGAAAAAAAACGTAGGTCTTTCAAAGGGAAGCAAGGGTTGGAATTAGTCAAATATTTTCAGTTGCAAGCAGAAAAAGAAATTTTATTTTCATGTAATGCATGCTATCAAAAAAGAAAAATATGGATGAGAAATGGAGTCTAAATACAATTAGTATATTTTATTTTTATTTTTATTGCTTAGGATTAAGAAAGATAAAATGTAAAATGTTCTTCAGATATTCAAGGTTATATTAATTATGATGATAGCAGACGTACATTGGGGTGGCCCCTACTTTATATAGAGACCCATGCTATAGAGACCCTCTACACATAGGGTGTGCGTGACCCACCCCACTCCTAATGGGCATGAAAGTACATTTTGTACAACTAAAATTGTTTTGAAAATACCCCCTTTTGCATCTATTTTGCATAAAAAGTAAACAATAGAAGGCTTCATCACACACACCCTAGTCTTGATACTTATGACTAATGGCTTCTTTGAGAAAATACCGTAATACACCACCTCTCTTCCCAAGGATTAAAAAAACACAATTCCTTTCCCATTTACTTGTCCCACACCACAAGTTTTTAACATACAACTCCTTTTTACACCACAAGACACGTTTCAATAGAAAATATTATTTATGTAATATATAAAATAAAACAAGTTATGTAAAAAACTAGTTGCTCTGATTCATTAGAATGCATACTACAGGTAAATCTTGCTACCCCCCCCCCCCACCCACAGACATGTAACTCATTAAAAAATGCTAAGTAATGATGTCTCAAACCAAATAATATTTTTTTCACGCAACAAATATATGCATAAACATTATAATAGCAAATCATTTTTAAAATTTGACGATGGGCACTTTGCCAATGGTTATCAGCACTCATCTTTTCTGGAGCCTAAATCGACACTTATTTACAGCCACTGTCCGATGTAATGTGACAGAGAGTCCCCCCCCCCCATGACACAGAATCTGTTTCCCCTTAATTTGTACAGGCTTGCCCTAGATTTTGATCCGCTTAAACCAGGCTAACCCTAACCATTTTCACTAAATGGAGGGCGGACTTTCAGGTACGCGGACCCTTAGTTTCGTTACACAGGTTTTTAAGAGAATGGCCAACTAAGATTCTTCGGCGCCCTTCAAGACGACTACCCTGAATGGCTTTGTATTATGCTAAGAGTAAGCTGACTCCGTGAGTTTTCAGAGTAATAAAGAATGTTCAATTGCCAGAATGGAGTCAATGCCTCTACTTCAGCGTAACAATTAAACAGTTCAGGAATATATTATAGAAGTTCTTAGAGCTCAGTCCACAAATTACACGGTCCCTTTCTAGTGTTATCGCTCTCATTTTACCACTTTCACTTTGACAAACAAATGTATGTGGAGGATGTTTTCTTTCTGATTCAGTTGTTCAATGTTTTAATTCAATGGCTCTGTAACCAAGACTAAGGACAACACTGCTGTACTAGTACTCTCACTTAGTTTATCTCTGACTCCATGAGTTGACCAAGTAATAAACAATACCCAATTGCCAGCAATGAAGTCAATGCCTTTACTTCACTTCACAGGCCCGTAGCTAGCAATTTCAAAAGGGGGGTTCCTTTTCTGGAAAAGTGGACCTTTTCCCATAAAAGCTACATGTACCTAGATCATATTTTACCCAGAGTGGACCTTTTCCAAGCAAAAGGGGCGGTTCTTTCGAACCCCCCGAACCTCCCCTGGCTACGGGCCTGCTTCAGTATAACAGTTGTAGAATGATGAGTAATATGCTGCAGTTTGGGGTTAGTGTGCCAGAGACGACAGTACTAGTATAGAAATATGTTATAGAAGTTCTTAGAGCTCAGTCCACAAATTACAAGTTCCCTTTCTAGTTTTACCGCTCTAATTTTACCACTTACGCTTTGACAAACAAATACAGGTTGCATTTGAAGAG